GGCTGTGGTACTCCCACTTGGTACGGTTTTCCACATCAACTGGAGTATTGTCATTTGCATTTTCCCATTCTCGTTGAATGAGACAGTCACTAAGGTGGTTCCCTTGAAGCCCTGATAGACTAAGGTTCACTCTTGGATTTAAGGTTAGAAGTGGCAGTACTTGCTTCTGATTGGACTTGGCCTTTGGCCTGAACCTGAGTTCAACTTTCCTTAGAGAGTGTGGTGTGTGGGGGGTGGGGAATGCTAGTTATGGGTTTCCCTACCCCCTACCCTGGTGCTGCGCAGCTTCCTTCCTTACAGAGGGAGCTCCTATTTCCTGCTTACATTGTCTTTTACTTAGTTGCTATTATCAGATACTAAGTTTCTACTTTCCCTCCTATTATAAAAATACTTTCATGCTCATTGCCCATTTAGTCATGAAACAGATATTTACATTTTTTATTGAGGTAACATTGGTTTACAGTGTATGTCTCAGAGGTAAAGGATCATACCTCCTCAGATGTATGGCACACACCATGCCCCCGGCTAAGGCACTGTGGCCCATGGGGAGCCCTCCGAACCTTGCGCTCCACTCTCCACCCTGGTAGCCTCAGTTCTACAGTAACAGATGTTTATATAAAATACCTGCTATGTGCAGGGCCTTGGCATTCTTGTGTCAGCTTTTCCTATATTTTGGGTAGATTTATGTGTGACAGGATCTGGGATGTTTTGATTTTGAGGGTGTGATGGGGGCTGTGTGTCTGTGGGAGTGGTGGGGGCCATCGAGAAGAGCAGCTGTCACTGCCATGCTGCTGCTGAGTCAAGGAGGGTATGTCCCATCAGGACGGGGTTTATGTAAGTGTTACGCAGGCCGTGCTGGGCGATATATTATCTCCCCTCTGAGCTTTCAGTATGGACTGGATTTTCATTCCTCAGCTGGCCTTGGGGCTTGCATAATCTGCTCAAGGTCAGTCAGGGGATGGTTGGGTAGGTAGCTGGCAGGCAGTGGAGGGGAACCAGGGACTCTTGTCTCCTGGTGTGATTTATTGCTCTTTCTCAAAGTCATCAGTGGCTGTAGGCAGCTCTGCTCAGGCTGTCCCTGCCCACCCTCACTTTCCACGTAGCCATGGGAATGACACTCCCAGGCTTTGCCTTGCAGTCAGCACCCAAGCACACACCTGCACTCCTCTCCGTTCCAGGTAAGTTTCTGATTTCCATCAGTCAGGGCTGGCTGCCTGGCCCAAGGCAGAGTGTGCTGCGCCTCTAGAGGTAGGGCAGTGGGTGGCTGCTGTAGGCTGGTGAGTGCTTTGGAGCAGATCCCAGTGGAGGGAGGGACAAGGCCCAGGGTTCAGCCTACAGGTTGGCCAGGCACAGTGTGTTAAAGTGAGAAGCATCACACTTTCTTCCCTTCAGCCCTGGCCTGAGAAAACACGATTGGAAGTCACTGTTTCTACAATAAATTTTTTTTTTTTTGATGCAGGTGCTGAGAACTGCACAAAGAGGGGCATTTTCTGTTTGAAGTTGCAACAAAGCTTAGCTTCTAGGAAAGGCTCAGCTATAACAAGTCTTTCCTCTGTCCTGTCAGAAAGTGCAGCAGGGACAGGATGGGGAAAGAGGCAGATGGCGCAAAAGCTGTAATTGCAGGCACTAGGGGCCTTTCTTTAGTGAAGGGGAGCGACCATCTTGCCCTCCTTGGTGGGTGTTACCCCAGACTCAGGAGTGGCTTTGGTTCCTGGCTGCCTCTTCACTGCCAGCTGCCAGTCAGGAGCCACAGGGAGAGCCCAGCCTTATCTGTGCTTCCACTGCCACCTTAATTCCCTTTCCTGCAGGTAATCTCCTTAGCGACCTAGTGCTTTACTTAGTGACCAAGTGCTTAGGTTGGCTGTGGGAGGAGTGTTTTTTTTTTTTTTTTTTTTTAAAGATTTATTTATTTATTTATACATGCACTGGGTACAGTCAGAAGCATGGGAGGGTGAGAGAATTCACCAGAGCCAGAGCGGGGAGCAGAGAAGGCAGAAGGACCGAAGTACACTGCTGAGGGGAGCAGCGGGCGGCAGGAGCGGTCTGCGCGCCATGTGGGACCCTCCTCCGGTGGCCGGGGAGCAGCCAGGGATCGAACCGGCGCTGCAGAGGCTGCGGGCAGCTTCGCAACCCAGCGCTCAACCGCTACGCCACCGGGGAGGCCCTGGGAGGAGTGTTTTTTCATAGGTAGCTTTACTTCTTCGGATCTGGGGATTTGTGATGAGGGAGGATGTTTGGGGAACACTAAATGATGAGTATTTTGCCTCCTCCTCCCACCAAGGATGGATCAGTCCACATGTTTGGGCTGCTTTTGCCTTGGTGAAGTGGGGTCTGGAGTCAGGGAAGGTAGCTGGGGAGTCCTGGCCCCTGAAGCATAGGCTGACCAGATAAAGTGCTACAGGGCTGCCCCCCCCATTCCCCCGGGGGTTCAGTTTGTGTCCAGGCAGGGAGGGTGCAATCCTGCAGAGGGTGCTTGGTCAACTGATACCTGTTAGTTCTGGAAGGTGGAAAATGTCCTGGCCCTTTGCTGAGGTGTTCACCTGCACATTTCCTTGGGGCTAGTCCCTGAGCCGTCCACCCAGGGTTTCATTGCTATTCTTGGGAGGGCCGGGTGCATCTGTGGTGGGACGTCTGCTGTCAGGCAGGAGTATTCTGGGGGGTGGGTGTGGGTCCTGGTCTCTGCCTGGGTGGGTGTGCCCACACAATTTGAAGGAAGGAGCAACTCCCCTGACTTGAAGTAAGGGGCAGCCTAAAGGATCTTCCCCATGTTCTTTGTGCCCTGACCCTAATGTGGACCGAGCTGCCCATGGTTCCAGCCTGATCATATGCAAGAAATAACAACAGCAACAAAAATAGGATAGCGTGAACAGGTCCCGGGCAGCGCCGCTCGGCTCTGACGCAGAAGTGAGATGAGACGGAATTAGCAAAACCTCTGAAAGGACCTGGTCCACAGTCTTGTCATTTAAACTTATGAAAGCTTTTAGTTATTTCTTTGACAGTGTATTCATTGGTTCCATGGGCTCCCTGCCGTGTCTTTGAAATTAAGATTTTGGTCAGGAAGGCAATTTCTACATGGTCACATTGCTCCCCTGGGGTCGCTTGGAACACAGCAGGCAGAGGCTTACTTGTGTGAGCACATACATGGGGGACTTCAGACGGGATGTGTGCACATTCAGCCTGGTCATTTAGGTAGTTTCTGGCTAATTGAGAGTAATGACGAGATGGAGAAGATGCAGAAGATGATGCTGTCTCATGGTCCTCCTGAGGGCGCACACGACGAAGGCAGCTCAGGATTAGGGGCTTAATTCTGTGTACTCAAGACTTCGGGTTACTTCCTTCTTTGAACACGGAGAAGCTTCTAAAATACTTGTTTTTTTTTTTTTTTTTAATAGAGGCATGTTTTTATTTATTTTTATTTGTTTGTTTTTTGTTTATACATGCACTGGGTACAGTCAGAAGCACGGGAGGGTGAGAGAATTCACCAGAGCCAGAGCGGGGAGCAGAGCAGGCAGAAGGACCGAAGTACACTCCTGAGGGGAGCAGCAGGCGGCAGGAGAGGTCTGCGCGCCATGTGGGACCCTCCTCTGGTGGCCGGAGAGCAGCCGGGGATCGAACCGGCACCGCAGAGGCCGCAGGCAGCTTCGCAACCCAGCGCTCAACCGCTGCGCCACTGGGGAGGCCCTAAAATACTTGTTGACTGACAGTGATATGGAATAATCCCAATAATCCCTACTTTGACTGTTGGTTTTAAAAATGAAGCCACTTTATGGGCCTTCCCGGTGGTGCAGTGGGTTGAGTGCAGCGCTGTGAGGCTGTCCACAGCCTCTGCAGCGCCACTTTGATTCCTGGCCTGCCAGGGAGAATTCCACATGGCGAGGCAGACCTCTCCTGTCTCACCTGCTGCTCCCCTCAGCAGTGTATCTCGGTCAGTCTGCCTGTTCTGCAAACCACTCTGTCTCTGGTGAATCCTCTCACCCTCTCATGACTCTGGCCTGTACCCCAGCTCTTGTATAAATAAAAATAGATCTTAAAAAAAAATAAAAAAAAAAAATGAAGCCACTTTAGGACTCAGTAATGTTTGAATTAAATTGGCATGGGCAGGGGATGTGGTTGTTTCTCCCACCACATGAAGAGTTGCCCAATTAGTTAAGTCTTAATGTATTTTCTGGGAGGAATAGGATATTTTAAAAGTGGGTTCCCTTTAAGTGCAAACATTTTGTGAAAAGTTTGGTCCATTTTGGCACATAAATTTTTCACTGAATGAATGAAATCAGAAACATATGGAAGATAAACTGCCATGAAAAGCTTTGATTTCTGTTTAGTGCCTTTAGCGTCCTAGCAGACGACATTTTGTAAGAAGATATGTCTTATGGGCAAGGATCCTGCAATCCAGTAAAGTATCTGGCTCATGGGAATGTGTCTTTGACAGTTAATTCATTCAGCAAATATTTATTGACTCCTACTATATTCTGGGCCTGTGCTGGGTCCCGGGCTTGCCAAGGAGAAGAGGTCTAGAGTCAACAACAACTTTGGGTATCACAGCAAAGGAGCCTGAGACAGAAAGGGCTTCTCTCTCCATGCCCGGGAGGAAGGGTCACCCGGAAGTCAGTTCTGTTGATTTTTATTGCTTGTTAATTACATCTGGTCATTTTTGTTGAAGAAAAATAACTTTCATAGGGCCTCCCCAGTGGTGCAGTGGTTGAGCGCTGGGCTGCAAAGCTGCCCGCAGCCTCTGCAGCGCCGGTTTGATCCCCGGCCGCAGGGTGAGGGTCCCACATGGCGCACAGACCTCTCCTGCCGCCCACTGCTCCCCTCAGCAGTGTATTTCGTCAGTCTGTCTTTCTGCTTCCTGCTCTGGCTCTGGTGAATCCTTTCACCCTCCTGCACTTCTGACTGTTCCCAGTGCTTGTATAAATAAATAAATAAATCTTTAAAAAAAAAGAAAAATAATGACTTTCACGATCACCAGTGTATTTATTGTAGTGGTTCTTTTATTGTAGCAGAAGATGGCTGTGCCTCCCACGTACATTGATCTTGGCAAACCCGCCAGGGATGTCTTCACCAAGGGTTATGGTGAGTGTGGTGAGGGCTTGGAGTGGCCTTGCAGCTCACAGCTTCGGAGTGCTCCCACCACAGCTTGAGACCTGGGTCAGTCGACTCTCAGGACATGCACGTCAGTGAAAAGACAAGCTTCCTATGGTCACTAAAGCAGTTTGGGTTGTGTCCCAGAGGGGTGGCTCCTGCACGCCCGCGCAGAGCCAGCATTTTCATTTCCTCTCCTGAGTGAGCAGGAGCACCTCTGTGCGAGCTGCCACATCAGGGCCTTCTAAATTTAGCCAGTCCTCAGCCACCTGCCCACACTGTCAGCCACCTTCTCAGACCCCCCGGGAGCACAGGTGGGGTTTGGATGGGGCCTGTGCCGGTTCTGACTACCACTGTTCCCTGGCAACCGAGCTGCACACCCGGGCAGGCAGCCACCAACATGTAGCCCTCACGGCATGCGGAGCCAGCCATGGGGGAGCAGAGAGGCCGCTCTGCGTTGGTCACTTAACCTATTAACTATTGTTTTCTTTCTTTAGGATTTGGTTTAATCAAGCTTGATTTGAAAACAAAGTCTGAGAATGGACTGGTAAGTTGTCTGACCCACAGGGAGCATGGAGTAGTTATTGAAGATCAATAAGGAGCTGCTGTGTCCTGCTGGCAGACTTCCACGAAGGGGCTTTTTGATCGGGTCATTTTGTGGCTGTTGCTGTCACTGCATACTCTGTGGGGTGGGGGTAAAGGGGAGCCACACTGCTAGGTCCCCAGGTAGCAGCTGTTTATAAACATGAATGTGGGGCAGGTGTCAGGTTTACCTTTCTTTGTGTTCACTGACCTGTGTGTAGTGCCACACAGTTTTAAAAAATATCCTCAGTAATGTCTTTCACATGCCCATGCAGTTACTGTTGGGAGGAAGGTGTTTTGGGGTTGAATTTGTGTCGTGTCAACTTTGGCTCAAGGCTTTTTCTCTGTACCTGGCTGGAGTCAGGATGGAAGGGGAGTGTCTCTCTGCCCAGACTGAAGAGTTACAGAAAGGAAGCCATCCCCTGAGAAAGAATTCCCCGTAAGCTTCCTTTAATTAGCAAACTTTCCTCGAGCCCCATCTGTACTTACATCTTACTGAGTTATGGAGTTAACTGCTGCCCACAGCCAGGTCTCACCTCTTGCATTAAGGAAAGGATGAGCCGTTTAGGGTGGAGGGATGCAAAGTGAAGAGCTGGTGTGTAGCTTGTAACTTTCTCTCTCCTTTAAAGGAATTTACAAGCTCAGGTTCAGCCAACACTGAGACCACCAAAGTGACGGGCAGTCTGGAAACCAAGTACAGATGGACTGAATACGGTCTGACGTTTACAGAGAAATGGAACACTGACAACACACTAGGCACCGAGATCACTGTGGAAGATCAGGTACCGGTGCGAAAAGAAAAACTGCGAAAAGACAGTTTTATTAAATGACATCTGCTGGCCTGCTCAGTGACTAAACCTTTCGGCAAATTTCTTTTTTGTTCAGCTTGCACGTGGACTGAAGCTGACCTTTGATTCATCCTTTTCACCCAACACTGGGTAAGAATTTCATCTGTTTTTGCCCCATGGTCATCTGGCAATATTTTAGAATAGGCTTCTGTGCTCTGTGCTTTTTCTCCTGGCCTCAGCAGTGGAGGCTGCAGGGTTTCTGGTTTAGCAATGTGCCATTTCCCTGGGGTGAGTGAGGCTGCTGGGAGAGTGAGAGGCTGGGTGATAGGCACTGGGCCAGACAGTGCCCAGTGTGAGGGGGCCAGACAGTGTGTTGATTTTCCTCAGCTCCTGGTGCTTTTCTCTTCTGGAACACACTCTTGGTATTTTCCTCTCAGAGCAGTGGGGGAAGGTTGTCTTGCATATTGATGACAAGCTTAAGGGCATGTACTGAATTTTTAAAAAATTATGGTTAAAAATAAATACATATAGGGGGCTCCCTGGTGGCTCAAGGGTTAAGCACAGCACTGTGAAGCTATCCGCAGCTTCTGTGCAGCATGAGTTCGATCCCCTGCACCTCTGGCCTGTACCCCAGTTTTTGTATGCATCAATAAATTTTTTTTTATGTTTAATATATTTTATTAAACATAATATATTTTAATATATTTTATGTAATTCTTATATCATTTTTCATTTTTGCACAATGCATGCATTTTCATTTTGGTTATAGTCCCCATACAATTCCATCCCCCTTATTTTGACCCTAATCCCTCCTCTCTTCCCTCCACCCCCATAGTGTGTCTCTGGTTTACAGTTGCTTGTTGATTTTGATTTTTTCTTTATTATAATTAGTCTTTTTCCTGGTCCCTTATTTAGGTTTTCTAAATTCCTGCTATAAGTAAGACCATCCAGTATTTCTTTTTTTTTTTTTTTAAGATTTAATCATGCATACAAGAACCGGGGTACAGAGACAGAGTGGGGAACAGAACAGATGGACTGACTGAAATACACTGCTGAGGGGAGCAGGAGAGGTCTGCTGTGCCATGTGGGTATGTCCCCGGCAGGCTGGGGGATTGAACTTGTGCTTCAGTGGCTGCGAATAGCTTCATAGGTTGTGTCTTAACCCTTGTGCCACCAGGGAAGCCCCAGACCCCATTCTTTGTTCTATCTCTTTCCTCTTCTTGTTCCCCTTCCAACACATATTTACTAGAGGGAGGATCTGGTGAGGCAGACCCTGTTCTGGGTGCAGAGTGACCACAATAAGTCCCTGGGCAGACAAGGGCTTCTGCCCAAGTTACTGTCTTTTTATAACTTGATTATGGATGATCTGAAGACCTTTGACCAGGAACTGAATTAACTCTTGTTCTCACCTGTGCTGTAGTTTTTCCTGCCAGAGTGGTGCCTTCTTTCTTGTGTACTTCCCCAAGGCAACTTGCTGTGATGGGAGAAGTTAGCCAGGGAGATCCTTTGATGGAACGTGGGCCTGGATGATGTGTCCACATACTTGATTTGCTGCCCTGGGATGGCACACTTTGGAATTTGTAAGGGGTTTCCCATCACCTTTGGGAGGTTTACAGAGATGTTTCCAGGCCCTGCAGTAATATACATAAGGGAAAAGGTTTTTTTGACATTTAATTTCAAATACGTTTATACTTAACATATGAAAATTTTGCACACAGTGTGTGTATCCGTGAGTAATGGTTGCCTTATACACTTAGTCCCCCTTCCTGTTGACATGTTACATAACTACAGTGTAATTATCAGAACCAACAAATTAACATTGATATCGTACTGTTGATTTACCTGTTGTCCTCTTTTTTTTTTTTTTTTAAGATTTATTTATTTGTACAAAAACTGGGGTACAGGCCAGGGGCACGGGAGGGTGAGAGAATTCACCAGAGACAGAGTGGGGAGCAGAACAGGCAGATGACCGAAGACACTGCTGAGGGGCACAGTAGGCAAGGCAGGAGAGGTCTGCCGTGCCATATGGGTATCTCCCTGGCCTTCTGGGAATAGAACCTGCGCTGCAGAGGCTGCGACAGCTTCACAGCGCTGTGCTCAACCCACTGTGCCAATGAGGAGGCCCTTACCTATTGTCCTCTTGATGTCTTCTAGTCCATGATCTACTCTAGTTCAGGATGTGATCCTGCATTTAATGGTCAAGTCTCCTTTGTTTTTTCTATTCTGGAACATAATCATATTTCTTTGCTTTTGTGATCATGATAATTTTAATTAATTAATTAAGGATATGATCCTGCATTTAATGGTCAAGTCTCCTTTGTATTTTCTATTCTGGGACATAATCATCTTTCTTTGCTTTTGTGATCATGATAATTTTAATTAATTAATTAATTTATGAATACAAGAACTGAGGTGTGGGCCAGAGGTGTGGGGAGGCAAGAGGATTCACCAGAAACAGAGTGGGGAGCAGAACAGGCAGACTGACTGAAATGCACTGCTGAGGGGAACAGTGGGTGATTCAGGAGAGGTCTGCTGCGCCATGTGGGTAGCTTCCTGCTCGGGGATCAAACTCATGCTTCAGTGGCTGTGGATAGCTTCATAGGTTGTGTTTTAACCCCTTGCGCCACCAGGGAGGCCCTCCTCCATGTATTTCTTTAATCATTTATTTATAGGAGTATAGATTCATAGGTATTTTATTTTGTGGATTATAATCCACTACTGTAATTTATTTTGTTACTCAAATCATCCCCAGTATGGCATTGGGACAGCCAGTTGGCTCCTGTGTGCTTTGATAAGCCCGTCTTTTTTTTTTTTTGAACATTTTTTCAGAAGATGTACCCAACTTGTCTTCTTGCTTTTCTCCAGTCCTTCCATCAGCCATTTCTCTAAGGAGCTCTGGTTCATTTTATTGAAGAATGGTGCTTAGAAACCAAGAATGTAGTAACAATATGTACACATCAGTATGAGGCATTTGAGGAAAACTTTGATGACTTGATGGGGAATGGAAATGAAAGCTGACTTTCCACAATGACTAATAGGGATAGCCTGGGACACCATCCAGGCTTCTGGAAGGGGCACAGCATAGACCACATCTGTATGAGGCTGCAGACTTCATTCAGGGACCAGCAGCCCTACCGAGTGTCTGTCACAGCTTGTCACCACAAGTCAGTCATGCCTCTCTCAGGTGCTTCTCAAGCTAATTTTTTAGTTTAAAGTATGTTCAACCAACAAGCTCAATAATGTTTGAAAGAGGAACAGCTCCAAATTCATAGATAGCTGCATAGCGGAGATGCCTGAGCCACTGCCCAGCACTGCACATTCTTCTGGGGATCTTGGACCCCTGGCCAGATTCCAGTGCTACCATGTGCAGGGGGTGGGGGCACTGCATGGCTGGTGCACTTGGCCAGTCAGAGGCCCTGCCACAAACATGGCATTTTGTGGTCATTCAGAGTTATTTTTTTTTGTGTGTGGTTCTGAGATGCCCATAGTTTGCGTTTCTCTCCTTGTAAATGTCAGCCTCTGAGCAGCTGTCTTTTTCTCTTTTTAACTATTGTTTTTATTGCGGGAATGTTGGTTTGTAACACTACATGTGATTTAGAGGTATGGGATCACACCCCTTCAGGTGATTGTTACCACACCATACCAGAGCACCCTTAATCCTCCTCCCTAGAGCACTGGGCACTCTCTTTTCATCAGCTACCCACCCAACCTCGTGCCATTTGGATTTGTGGACAAAACTCAGGTTCACCCATCCCCCACCGTCCCAAAGAGCAGGCAGGCCAAGATAGGTTTATTTTGAGTTTTTCTTATAGAGAGATAATTTGGTTGCTACTTCTTCAAAGCATGCCAAAATGCACTCAAGCAACTTGAATGAGAGGAGCAGGCTTCATTGTAACTTGGGAAGGGAGTTGCTTATATTTTCAATCAGAATCTCTACCATTCTTGTCTCAATCAGGTCTTAGAATGTGTAACCTTTACATTTTTTATTATGGAAAAGTTCAAACATTTAAATGAATGCAGGATTCGTTTAAACCCTCATCATGCTCCATCACCCAACTTTAATAATTATCAACCCATGGCCAATCACATTTTGTTTTTATATCCAACACCACTCCCTCCAGCATTCAGATTATTTTGAAGTAAAAAACAGATATCACATAGGTTCATTACTATTTTAGTATATACCTTTAAATCTTACGGTTCCTTTTAAAAAAATGCATAACTACAATATTGTTACCATGTAAAAATGTTATCATAATGTCTTAATATTATCAGATCTCTAGTCTGTTCAAATTAATTTTTTTTTACATATTCAAAATTGTCCATGCAACTTTGCAAAAATTATTTTGCATGGCTCCTAAAGTTTACTCTTAATTTTCAGGTTCTCCTCTTTTTCCTCCCCTTGCAATTTACTTGTTGAACGTAGAGTATTTGTCCTGGAGAATTACATATAGTCTGAATTTTGCTGTTTGTATCTCTGTGGCATCATTTAACTTGTCCCCCACTGTCCACATTTCCTGTGAATTGGTCAGTCTAATCTTCATTGCCTTCAGATTCCAGGTTGCGGGAGGACAGCACTGAATGTAAATTGTACTGTGTGCTTCCGGGGGGGTTCATATGGACCTAGTTTTCTCTTGGTATGTTAGTGTCATTCCATTAGAGGTTACAAATTGATGAAAATTCTACTTTTACCATTCCTTCTGCATTTATTAACTGGGCTGTTTCAATAAAAATTCATCAGCTGTTTGTTACCTTGAGGTATATAGTTTGTATCGGAAAGGTGGAATAAATGTTTGATTTCTATTTAACTGTTTTCAAAATTACAAATTGTGAAGATGATATAAAGATGATGTCTGTAAAGATGATGACAATGAAGGTATTTTTGTGTTATGTATAGACTAAAGTGTGTTTGATAGTTTTCAATTTTGTATTTATGTTATTTTAATGATGCTGGCATTGTCTCCAGAGCTCTGGGAGCCTCTCCTGGTCAGCTCTCGAGTCCTTTCACTCCAGCCTCTGTAGACTTTGATCACTTTGATGCTTCAGGTTCACCTTGTACCTTTCTTGCTCCTACCTATAATCCACCCTTTACCTGAGGAGCACTGGTTCCTAAGAGGAAGGAATGGGATTTAGAGCCCACCACCTGGGCCTGGGGATGAGGCTTTAGTCTCAGTATGGATGAAGCTGGGGCTGACAGGACTGTGCATTTCTTGAGCCTCTGAGTGGATCTGGTTTCGCCTGTGGTTTCTGCTGAGAGTGCAGCTTGCTCTGGGACATGTCCAGTTTGCAGCTGAATGACAGAATCAATCAGCTAAAAATAGTTCGAATTTTATTTGGTAAATATGATCTTGTTCTGTAATATTGACTTTCAGTAAAAGCCATGGTGCTCATATATTTGCAGGTGACACTGCTCACTTGCCCTTCCTGAGGAATGTGAAGTTTTGAGTAATAGGCAAAGGAGGCCTTAAACTGGTTGTATATGCAAATCTGGGATCAGCAGACTATACCTGGGGTCTCGTGAATACTGAATTCAAAGCTATCTTACTGTTGCATCCACTTAGAAGGGCTCTAGTATTTGTTTGTTTACCAAGTGAGCCACAAAATGAGAAGGCAACCTCTTTAACAACTGCTGTTTAGCTAGCTGCCTTTATGACATAAAGCTTTTGTACAGACTTGAAGAGCAGCAGTATTGCATCTGTTTCATAATTTCATGGTGACTCTTACCTAATAGAGTCTGGTGTAGGTCACTGCATTAAGCATAGGGAGAGAGTAGCAAAGGCATTTATGTAATGTTTATTTTTCAAACTTTTCCTGCCCCAGTTCTCACTTCATTATTGTGGCATTTCTTCAAACTGGATTCCCTTGAGAGAGGTTACATCCTACTCACTGTGGCCCAGCAGCTCCTTGTGAGAGTTTTGGGTCCCTGGCTTCCCCCTCTCCCACTTAAACTGGGGCTTTTAGGTGGGAGACACAGGAGGGAAGGGGGCTCAGTGGGTGCTTTGGTGGTGGGTGTGGTGTGTTAACATGCATCTGAAGGCGTGTGAGCCTATGCCCCTTAACCATATAAGCTGTAGTAAACCAATGTAACCTCAATAATAAAAAATAATATAATTTTTAAAAGAACACATAAATGTCCAATGTCAGGTAACAAGGTATTTTCTGAATTCTGACTCTGTTGCTGAATAAATGTGTGAATATAAAAGTTGAAAAAAAATTCTATACTTAATTTTCCTCATTTTAACAATGGAAGATGCAATCCAAGGCCAAAATACTTGTGAAATTTTTGAAGAATTGGTAATGAGGATTCTTTCTTGGTGAGAGGGCATCAGCAGAAATCCTGAAAGAATCTTGAGTCTCTCTGGTGGGGCAGGCGGTTCAGTGCAGGCGGTTCAGTGCAGTGTCCGCCGCCTCTGCAGTGTAGGTTCGATTCCCCACCGGCCAGGGAGATTCCTACATGGCGCAGCAGACCTCTCCTGTCTGGTCTGCTGCTCCCCTCAGTGTATTTCAGTATTTCAGTGTATTTCAGTCAGTCTGCCTGTTCTGCTCCCCACTCTCTCTGGTGAATCCTTTCACCCTTCCGCACATCTGGTCTATACCCCAGTTCTTGTATGTATGAATAAACAAATCTTTTAAAAAAAAAGAATCTAAAGGACTTTTGTTTTGACTATCCAAATTTTAAAAAAGGATATAATAGTGGAATTTGTGACTGTTAGAAATTTTTGTGCCATAGTATATCTTCAAATTTAGTTTAAAAAATTACTTTTTTCACCTGTTTAACTGCAAACCATAAACTTTCAAGGAGGAGAATTTATATAGTTATATCCTTTGTCATATTTTATATGCTAGAAATGAATCAAAGATTTTTTAAAATCAAAAATTATATGAATTTCATTCTGTAATTTAGATTTACATCCTCTGGTTCTTTTTTTAAAGATTTATTTGTGCATACAAGAGCTGGGATACAGGCCAGAGGTGTGGGGGGTGAGAGGATTCACCAGAGAAAGAGTGGGGAACAGAACAGGCAGATCTACTGAAATACATTGCTGAGGGGAGTAGTGGGCAAGACAGGAGAGGTCTGCTGCACCCTGTGGGTCACCTCCCTGGCCGGGGATCAAACTCGTGCTGCAGTGGCTGAGGATAGCTTCATAGTGCTGAGACTTAACCCCTTGCATCACCAGGGATGCCCCCTCTTTCGTTCTTGACATTTGCAGCTGCTTCCTAAATTTCCTAAAATAATTCTCCATACTTGAGTGTGGGACTGAGTGTGTCCAGCAGGGCCCTCATCCAAATGGACTCCTCCTGGTGGCCTTCGCTGCAGCCAGGTGTTGTTCACCATCACCAGGAACATGGCACCTTTGTTGCTTAGATAAAGGAAAGGCTATTGATACTGTGCTGTGGTGGTAGTGCTGTGCTGCCTAATAAAGGCCTTTGGAAAGTTAAAAAAAAATAAAGTGGGATTTTTTTTTTTTTAATTTGCATTCCCTGGCACCTTGTACCAAGGTGAGTTAGCTTCTTATTTTTAATATAACCTCTTTTCCTTCAGGAAAAAAAATGCTAAAATCAAGACAGGGTACAAGCGAGAGCACATCAACCTGGGCTGTGACGTGGACTTTGACATCGCCGGGCCCTCCATCCGGGGCGCCCTGGTGCTGGGCTATGAGGGCTGGCTGGCTGGCTACCAGATGAATTTTGAGACCGCCAAGTCTCGAGTGACCCAGAGCAACTTTGCGGTGGGCTACAAGACCGACGAATTCCAGCTTCACACTAATGTGTAAGTGTATTCCCATGCAGGCCCAGTGTGCACTAGGGTGATTGTTTTGTATGTTTTTTTCCCCTAAGCTCAGTTTTTAATCACCATAAAATGGGTTTGATGGAATCAGATGAGCCAGATGGCTGGCTGGTATTTTCTATTTCCCACCTACCCATTCCCTGAAGTGACATAGGGTCTCTGGAAGCAGTACACGTTGTCACTGGTGTATCCTGTCACTGGTGTACACAGACTGACTGGACAGTTAAAGCAATGCCATGCTTTCTGCCCAGGCCACTGGCTCTTGCCTGCAGCTTTGTCGACTTTGGAGGCTCCTTAGATTTAGTTAACAGGATGGGGTTGAGAGGGTGGGAAGCGCAGCTCCCCTCTTTCCTCACTTGGTGCCTGCGGATCGCTTGCCGTGCTTTAATAAAATGCAGGCATGGGAGACAGGTGAGGGGAAGAGCATCTCAGTTAAACACAGTGTCTTCTGTGTGTGGAGCATTAGAAAGTCAATTAGCTACTGGATAGTATAGTGAAGGGAAGAGAAAATTATAGGTCAGTTTAGAGAGAACCTCTCATTATCAAATTTGAGAACTGAAGTAGAGTGCTGATTTCGGTTAAGGGAAACAAAAAGTTTATCCATTAAAGCCCTGTGGATGAGGAGCCGCAGCTTGCGTAGGGCTTTGCCACATTTTTTTCCTTCCACCAGAGGTCGCTAAAGAAGTGACTTGTTAAACTTAAGAAAATGGTTTTAGTGACATTTAGCCAAATGTCATTCAACACCTAGTGTTTAGTGACATTTCCATTAATACAATTTTTGGAATTTTTATAATGAAATTAATTTTTTGACTCTTTCAAAACTGAAAAGTCACAGGGAAACTAGCAGCTGATGGTTCAGTGGTTCTGGGGGAGGTGAGATGGGGTGTGTGCATTGGCGTGACTCTAGGGATTTTGGGGTGGGGAACTGTTCAGTATCCTGATTGTGGTGGTGGTCACACAAATCTTTATGTATTAAAATTCAGAGAAATGTACACCAACAAAGACCAAAAAAGGAATGTCAATTCAAAAAAGATACCACAAAAAGTCGAAACAAAGATATCACAAGCAAAGAAGTGTTTTGTTTTGTTTTTATTAGAATTCTGACTGAAATGGGAAATGCTTCCTTGCTGTGGAATTGGGAATTTATAGCAATTCTAGGAAGAATGATAGCTTTTAGCTGATTTCCCCACATACCTGAGCTTCAACACTTTTAATAAGTAACAAGTGGACGTGGTTTATTTTTGGAACTGGCCTGGAAACAGCTGACACAAGTAATCTGGGTTGCCCTGGAGCTTGCAGAGCCCCAGATATGTGGCAGACATTCTTTGTGCTTCTTGTAGATGAGTTTGTACAATGAGTACCCTCTGTTATGGTTTTGAGAGTTCAGTGCAAGAAGCCAGTGTTGCTGGTTTTAGAACCTACTAAAAAATCTGAAATTGAAAAAACACATCTCAGCCCAAGGAAACTTCCCCACTTGAGTGTTATACAAAAATATTATTATTTTTATTTTTTAAAGATTGGTTTATTTATGCATACAAGAGCTGGAGTGGAGTATAGGCCAGAGGTGTGTGTGTGTGGGGGTGTGTGTGTGTGAGAGGATTCACCAGAGACAAAGTGGGGAACAGAACAAGCAGATTGACTGAAATACACTGCTGAGGGGAGCAGCGGGCGAGTCAGGAGAGGTCTGCTATGCCATGTGGGTTGCTCCCTGGCTGGCTGTGGGATCGAACTTGTGCTGCAGTGGCTGTGGATAGCTTCGTAGGCTGTGTCTTAACCCCTTGCGCCACCAGGGAGGCCCAAAAATATTATTTTTGATAAGCTATTTTATAGCATGTTTGGATTTTCTGAAGAAGACAGGATTCCCTGTGAATCAGGCAGTGCCTGGACTCTCCTGCATTCTCTGAAAGCACAATCTCTCTTGGGCTGAATTTTAAGGAAAACTTAAGAATTTAGAAGGTAGTTATGTGCATCTACTTTAAGAGAGTGTGTTGGTGAAGAGTAGAGTTTGCAATGAACAGTAACAATTTGTTCTTTCAGGTTAGTAAGTCCTAAACTCTGTGCTGGACAGCAAAGCCCATGGCTCTCCCTTCACTGTTTCCAGTGCTACTGCCCCTGGGAACAGGAAAAATCTGACATTGTTAGTTTATGGTAAAAATATTAGGGAGGAGTTCCCGGAGACCGGAATTAATAACAAGGTGTGTTTGGAAGAGGGAAAGGAGTTTGGCTGGCTGGTTTTCGAAAGATAGAAACATTTTGTAATGTAGCAGGCAGCTCCTTTTCAACACCTACTAGGATGCCAGGTGCCAAAGCCTGGAGCAGCAGTATACACAGGCGGTGGAACCTGTCCCAGTTGTAGGTGATTTTGTAATCACGCCTTTTCCTAGGCTCTGGGTCACTTCAACTCTGCCCTCCCCCCAACCCTCCAAGGTGACTGTGGGAAGTGCTAAGGGACCTGCCTTCTGAGGAACTGGAGTGGCCCAGCCTTTCTTACCATCTGACTGTTTTCTTACTTACTTCCCCTCTGTTACCATTTTTATGATAGAAGCATTTATAAAAACAGTAACATTACCAACAGAACTAAGAAATCTCTCAGAATCCCCATGTCTTAGCTACTGTTTCTATTTTAAAGACTGTGTTGGAAGTGAATTCAGGTTTCACACAGCCTGAGCAGTTGCCTGGGCTGCCTCCAGGTGTCCCTCTGATGGGGGGAGAAGAGTCTTTTTCTTCCTCTGCCCCGTGGCCTCTTCTCACCAGTCCACCAGTCTGCCCATAATTTGCTGCTTTTTTGGTGATCAGTTCGGCCCCTTTTGATAGCATCTATGTCCTCTGTGACCTGTGGGCAACTCTGCCCAGCTCCAGTCCACCTTCCAGAGCCAGGTGGCAACTGTGTTGTGCTTGTTTGCAGAAATGATGGGACAGAGTTTGGTGGCTCCATTTACCAGAAGGTGAACAAGAAGTTGGAGACTGCCGTTAATCTTGCCTGGACAGCAGGCAACAGCAACACTCGCTTCGGAATAGCAGCCAAATATCAGATTGACCCTGATGCCTGCTTCTCGGTAGGTACCTGTGGAATTGTGCGTCTCCAGGCTCCACCTGACCCTTAGGTTGGACTCCTGGATTGCTGGAGTTGTGTGCTTTGACTAGACATTTTCTCACCATGGAAAGTTAGAAATAAGTAAATGATAGCAGTAACATGGATAGCAAGTACTGTGTGGAGTCCGTTATATGTGGATTATTGTATTTAATCCTTACACAACTCATTTGTATAGGTTCTTTTTAAAAAATCATTCCATTTCTGTTTTCACAAAAGAGGAATTGGGAGATTAGGGGTATTGCATTACATGCCCAAGAGCACATGACTGGTAAGTTCTGGGGCCTGGATTTGACCCAGACTGGCTTGCTGTGGTGCCTCCTCCAGCCAGTTCCGGTTTCATGCTGCAGACTGTAAAAAAGGCTATCTTTTTTACTGATACTGAAACTGAATCCTCAGTTTTTAAATATTTTCTCTTTCATTTTTCATTTGCTTGTCCAACTCCAGTATTACTACTAAAAATCTGACCGACAGTGGACAGTTAGTATCTTATCCTGAAGACCCTTGCTCATTGACCCTTGGACTGCCGCATAGTTTGGCCCTCACTCCTGCAAAGCTCACCCCTGTTGTCACATGGCCCTGCTGGCTGTACCCCTTTAGGGGTGTTATGAGAAACCCTCATGCTGCAGAACGGCTCCTGGAATGGTTTGTGTAATTTACAGATAGCCCGCTTTTAGTCTCTGGAAATGGAACCAAATTTGGCTTCTGCAACATTAGGTGCTTAAAAACAAAGGAAAGGGGGTCCTCATTATTTGGATGGCAGAAGGAAGAGGAACAGCTTAATGGGACACTGACTGCCAGGAGGCCTGCCTTGCCCATGCTGTGCTCTTTCTTTTGGGTGATGTCAGGTCTGAAACATACTTGAACAGGAAACACATACGTAGGCAGCCCTGCTTTTGCCAGGCCTCCCTGTTTTCATGGCTGGGGCGCCCTCTGCTCTGACACCTCCTAATTTGAACAGAAAGGGGCCAGGGAGAGGCCCACATTTCCCTACAACTCAGGACAAAGAATGAGGGCAAAATTATTATTGACTCAGCAGCTTGATTGAACTTAATCATTGATCAGCATTCACTAAGTGCTGATTCTGGAGTGATTGCTAGGTCATTCATTCTGCTCCAATGTACATTTAAATCAGACCTGTCAGTACTAAACCTTCTTCATGCTTTTTGCTTCTCTTCAACATGAAGAAAAAATTCTAATGGTATTCTGTCTTTTAAAAAAGCCTCAAAACCCTATCTCACATTTGCTCTGTCTCCCACATCCCAACAAATAGATCTTTTTTTTTTGTTTCATTTTATATATTTGTTACATCATTTTTCATTTTCGTACAATGTATGCATTTTCATCTCGGTTGTAGTCCCTATGAAATTCCCACCACCCATTCACCTGTGAACTATCATTGTGGTCCCTTGTGCTCTTCCCACCCTTGGTTTGATCCTACTCCCTTCTTCCCATCTCAGAGTGTCTCTGGTTTATAGTTGTCTGTTGATTTTTATTTTTACTTTATTATAATTAGTTTTTTTCCCTGATCCCTTATTTGGGTCCTCTACATTCCTTCTCCAACGAATAGATCTTAAAGGAATCTTCCAATTAAGAAAACATTTTATCTCTCTGGTCACATATGAAAGTGTCCTCACCTAATGAGTATAGGTGGGGTTGGGCATTTGTACCTTCAAAGGCAACTACTCTGTAAAGAGTAACTTCATTGAAAATTGTGTTGATATAAAAACATAGGCATTTAAAAATGGACCGACTCTGAGTTTCCCTTCTAAGACCTAGTTCCCAAATTAGATATATTTCACATTGAATTGAATGAATCCCATAAATTAGGTGGTCATGAAGAAAGAGAAGTTGATTGTGAAATCCAGAGTTGGTTGATTTAAAAAGCTTTTGTTTTGGGGATGAAGCATGAAGTAGTTAACCTTTTCACTTTGTCTTTTCCTTGACTAGGCTAAAGTGAACAACTCCAGCCTGATAGGTTTAGGATACACTCAGACCCTAAAGCCAGGTATGTGTTGGATGTGTGTGAAATTAGTTCTTTGCTTAACAAAAATGGTGCTGCTGGTTTGCTGCTTTATGATTTGTTATAAAATACCTGTGTGGTACATTGTAAATGTGTTTTATGATTAAATATTTGTCAAGGAGTATAGAGTCATTATAAAACATTGGAGAATTTTTTTTAAAGATTTATTGTAAAATTTTTTTGTAGAAGAACTGGGGTGTAGGTTAGAGGTTCAGGGGGTGAGAGAATTCAGAGATAGAGTGGAGAGAAGACAGGCAGATTTACTGAAGTATATGCTGAGGGTAGCAGTGGGTGAGACAGGCGAGGTTTGCTGCGCCATGTGTGTTAGTTCCTTCGCTGGGGATCGAATTCAGGTCATAGAGGTGACAGTGCTGAGACTTACCTCCTTTTTTTTTTTTTTTTTTTTTTTTTAATGCTACATTCCTAGGCTTCACCTGTTGGTTCTGATTTATTTGGTTTTAGATGAAGAATCAACTTTTTTTTTAAAAAAAGATATTTATTTATGTATACAAGAACTGGGGTACAGGCCAGAGGTGCAGGGGGTGAGAGGACTTACCAGAGACAGAGTGGGGAACAGAACAGGCAGACTGACTGAAATACACTGCTGAGGGAGCAGCGGGTGAGACAGAAGAGGTCTGCTGTACCATGTGGGTAGCTCCCTGCCCGGGGATTGAACTCGTGCTGCAGTGGCTATGGATAGCTTCATAGTGCTGTGCTTAACCCCTTGCGCTACCAGGGAGGCCCAAGAATTAACTCCTATGCCACCAGGGAGACCCTAAAACATTGGAGAATATTTTAAAAATTTGGAGAATAAGAGGAGCAGTATGTAGGAGAAAAAGGGGCTGAAGTTAACACATATTACCTTGTTTTCCCATTTTTTTTTTTAATGTGAGCTGTCAAAAGTAAAACCAATGAATCACTGAAGTATTCATAGTTAGTAAAAGTTTATGGTGCACACACCAAAAGGCAATTTGAGTACTAATTTGAGTACTACAATTTGAGTACAATTTGAGTACTATGCTAACCAAAACATGGACTGAGGCTCGGGGGAATACTGTTATAGAGCAACTTACATAGTGAGAAGGCAGTAACTTTTTTCTTTGCAGTGAATGGTGTTAATATTAAAATTTTCAGAAATGATAGAGGTTGGTTAGTGGTTACCTCCTATCAATTTTGGAAATCAATTTTTGTCATGATTTCCAGAGTCATAAGCAAGAAATGACCCAGGTCAAGTTAGTTTTGCAAAATGAGCTAAATTAAGCTTTGCTTGTCTAACTGAAACTGGATTTGTCAGCTCAGGGAATTTTCAAGGTTGGTTGCCATTTGTTTTTGATTTTAATAATACATAATGCATGATACTTATTTCCAGCAGGTTCTCAAAACTAGCCCATAAATCATCCTGTTGTAAAAAGACAAATAGGAGAATTGTTGTCCTCTGCACAGTTGGCCAGGCCAGTGCATGGTGTGTTAGCAACAGGGTGTAATGCCACCATGGGGGTATTTTGTTTGAGTTGGACCTTCGAACCCAGGAAAGCTAAGATTATATGATGTCAGAATCAAGCTAATATAAAGAATATGTTAGTTGTGCATGTGTGTGTAGGTGGTGCATGTGTATGCACACTGTGAATATAAGCCTCCAGAATCTGACTCTTGGTTGGGATGAGCTATTCCCAAAGAAAAGCTTACTGTGTGATCCCATGGGGCAGACTCATTATGGGGCTGGGGGTGGGTGAGAGAGACGGAAGCAGGGTCCCTAAAGTGGATCTGATAGGCTGTGGAATAAGAATTATTTTCTAATCTCACTCTAGGCTGCCTGTTAGTCAGATGGTGTTAAGTAACAGGGATTAAAGGGCCATGTGGTTTTGCTCCTGCTGATCCCACTGGTTGGGACAGCCTTTGGACTGTGGTTTTGCCATTATGTTTCAGAGTTCCTCCACATGTTAACCTTTCTTCTCCATCCCTTCTCCTTTGCTCTCATGGATTTGTTCTCTTGCAGGTATCAAACTGACACTGTCAGCTCTGCTGGATGGCAAGAATGTCAACGCGGGTGGCCACAAGCTTGGTCTAGGACTGGAATTTCAAGCATAAGTGAATACTGTACAATCATTTAATTTTAATCTATTTTGCAGCATAGCTACCTTCAGAATTTAGTGTACCTTTTAATGTTGTATGTCTGGGATGCAAGTATTGCTAATATTATGTTAGACATCCAGGTTAAAGATGATTCAGCTTTAAGGTGTTACCCTTTCAGAGGTACAGAAGAAACCCAATTCCAAAAAAAGGTCCTTTCAGCTGTAGCCTTGGGGGGATTTGGCAGCCCCTCTAAAGATGTCAGGTTTCTTTTTTATCTACAAATGGCTGCAAGTGGAAACTGATAATTTGTAGGCACTTTGTAAATTCGTATTAAGTAAATGAATGAAATTGTGATTTCCTGAGAATTAAACCTTGTTTTCCTACCCTTGTTGAAGAGTGGCTCACTGATGGTGTGGACACACTCATCTGAAAGGGACATTTTTAGACAGATCTTCATGACCTGTTTCCACCCCAGTCCATCACCTCTTTTACACCAAAAGTAGTCTGCAGGGCGTGGTAGGAGTTTCTTTTGTGCCATTTTGGGGTGGAAAAGGTGGATGTGATGAAGCCAATGATTCAGGACTTACTTCCCTCTCACATTGTGATTTTTGCCCTTGCACCAGAGTATGAAATAGCTTTGAAGTGCTTCAGCTGCGAGATGGGAAGAGTCTCTGTGACTGTAATCACATGGTGACAACACTCGAATCTAAATTGGACTTCTGTTGTATTCTCGCCACTCAGTTTATTTTTTAGCAGTTTAATGGGTACATTTTAGAGTCTTCCATTTTGTGTGGAATTAGATCCTCCCCTTCAAATGCTGTAATTAACATCACTTAAAATAAAACTTGAATAAAATACTGAAACCTCATCCTTCTGATATTTTTATTCGTATAATTGCAAATAGCAGGAATTGTCTTTTGGCTGCTTGCTCTGTGTGTGTTATTTTTAGTTTCTGTTGCAGCATAACAAATTACCATAAACTTGGTAGTTCAAGAACAACACTCATTTCTTTCACAGATTTGTAGGTCAAAAGTCCAAGAACAGCATGGCTGGGCTCTCTAAGGGCCTACCAATCTGTAATTAATATTTCAGCTAGTTATGGGGATTACACCTGAGGGGAGAAATCAAATATTGTACAAAGATGAACAATGATGTAAGAAAATAAAAACGAACAACAGATTTCAGCTAGCCTGGCCTCTTTTGGTCTAATATGGTGGCAGCAGAGTTCAGTTCCTTTCTGGTGTAGGATTCTGGTCCCCCTTTTTTTTTTTTTTAAGATTTATTTATTTATGGGCCTCCCCTGGTGGTGCAGCAGTTGAGCGCTGAGCTGCAAAGCTGCCCGCAGCCTCTGCAGAGCCGGTTCAATCTCCGGCCGCTGGCGAGGGTCCCACATGGCGCGACAGACCTCTCCAGGCTCGCCTGCTGCTCCCTTCAGCAGTGTATTTCATCACTCTGCCTGTTCTGTTCCCTGCTCTGGCTCTGGTGAATCCTCTCACCCTCCCGTGCTTCTGACTGTACCCAGTGCTTGTATAAATAAATAAATAAATCTTAAAAAAAAAAAAAGATTTATTTATTTATATAAGAACAGGGTACAGGCCAGATTGGCGGGAGGGTGAGAGAACTCATCAGAGACAGAGTGGGGAACAGAACAGGCAGACTGATGAAATACACTGCTGAGGGGAGCAGCGGGCGAGACAGGAGAGGTCTGCCGCGGCAGGTGGGACCCTGATTGGCCTGCCGGGATCGAACCAGCACTTCAGAGACTGCGGACAGCTTCACAGTGCGGCGCTCAACTGCCTGAGCCACCAGGGGAGGCCCAGGTCCCTGTTTTCTTGCTGGCCACAAGCTAGGGACCACTCTCAGCAAATATAGCCCACCTACTCTTCTTGACATGTAGTTCCTTCCATCTCCAAAGCCAGGAACAGAAAACTCCTGTTCTGTCAACCCCCTCTGGCCTCAAATCTCTGGGAAGACCCCCAACCCTTTTGATGACTTACCTGATTAAGTCAGGCCCACAGAGGATAATCTCCCATTCTTAGAGGTGACTGTGCCATACAGCAATGTAATCACAAGAGTGATATCCTGTCTTAGTCATAGTTCCCTCCCACACTCAAGAGCAATGGTCATATAAAGCCCGGCGTCATTGGGAGTCATTTTAGAAATCTGCCTTATTTATATATTTAGTAACTTGATTGTGAACATTTCACATATTTACAAAGGAGGATAGTAACAAATCCTATGTATTCATTATCCATCTTCAATAAATATGAGTTTTTTCTGTTTAAGGATATATATATTGTTTTGTATATATCTATTTTTGAGTATGGCAGATTCCTTTTTTTCTATGTTTGACACTGACCATTGCAAACAGGTATCAGATTTACTTTTTGCATTTTGTGTAACTGATCTCTTCAAACCACTGGCCTCAGTGTTTGTCAATGTTTATGAGTATAGTATTTGTCATGTTGCCTTTGTTAAGTTTATAAGGACCTTCAGTTACTTCAAAGTGAACTTTATTGAATTTGTCCAGAGATTAAGGCAGGTTATGGTTCTTGGGTACATCCAGTCAGATATCAGTTATAATATGAAACTATTATGAAATTTACAAAGGACTGCTTGACAATAAGGGAATATTTTCTTCCCCGCTTACAATGAAGTATCTGTCTGTTGTATGGAGCATGTCAGAATATTGTGCCAAATTCCTTCAGTTCAAGATAACTCACTAGTAAGTGTTGAAACAATAGTATGGTGACCAAAGGAACGAATGGACAGACACCCAGGTTGAAGGTGTGCTTGTAGAATAAAAGCCCTTTTAACTCTTAAGTCTCTCAAGAAGAAATTAGAATCGAGGGGCTTATTCATTAAGCTCCAGGGGAGCATGGGAAGACTGTACCGTTGCTACCCTTGAAGGTTTGCAATAAGGGCACCATTCAGTCTGTCTGGGCTTGTGGTGGGCTTAGAGAAGTGAGCAGATGAATGACCTCTTGGTTTTCTTAACACAGAGTTTGTGTGTTTCTGAGCTGTCATTGGAGCCAGATAAATAAGGGAAACCAGATTCAGGAAAACACAGGCCCTTCTCTTTTCAGAGAGGTAGCTCAGCTGTCGGGCATAACAACAATCCTCTGAGAATCATGGAGACCAGAGTGCTGAAGCAGTGGGTGCATAAATATCTTGCTTCATGCCACACTCACTTTCCTGCACATAAATCAAGTGGCTGTGGAGGTTTTATTAAGGAAACATTCACAGAACATACAGACGAAAGCACTGTGCCAGGGCCATCAGGGAACTTCCTGAAAATTTTGAAATTTGAATTTGGGGGTTTTTTAAGTTACAAAATTTTAAAAAGTAACAGAAACTTATAGGAAATGTGGAAGCTGTTTGTATCCCTACTTCATAGTCTCCTTCTATGCTTTTCCTTAATAATAACTATCGTTTTATAGTGTATATTTTACACTGTAGACACACACACACACACACACACACACCCCTTCTCTCCCCCCAAAAGGCAGGCATTCGTTTTGTTCCCAGCTTCTGAAAAACGGAAGGATGCTAAATATTTGTGGGGATAATAAATGATTATAGGACCGGATTACAAAATTACTTAGAATTCTACCCAGATAACAGTCTTTTAACATTTATTTCCTTCGCCTTTGGAAGGAGGAGGGGATTACTTTCGACTTCCACTGCAATCAGCCTACTACACAGATGGATCTTGCTTTTAAAAATGTCTGAAGTACTTTTATTTGCTGCAGAGCAGTCCATCCCGAGGGGGGCCGAGAGTGGCGCCTCTGACACAGTTCGCACCCACAGTCGCGATTAGGTGGCCCCCGCCCCTGCTCCTCCCACTGCTCCTCCCACTTGTTAGCGTCTCTGGAGCCCGGGTCCAGGCTGTAACGTCATCACGCTGGGACGTAGCGGCTTAGAGCCTTGATGCTGTACGCAGTGCCTGACGTCATGACGTAAAATCTAGCGACTGCGCAGGCGGCGGAGTCCGTTATGGCCGCTGCGGTCCTGAGGAGGATGAGGGGAGCCGAGCAAGCCAAGCTGCCTCCCGGGCGGGGCATCCAGACACCTGGAGGGGTGGCACGGCCGCTGGTCCTGGCTCTCCTGCTGGCGGCCGCCGCCATGTCCAGCGGTAAAGGGGGTGCGGGGCAGGGCGGGCGCGGCGGGGAGACAGGCCAGGCCGGGGAAGGGGCGCGTTGGAGCGGCGGGCGCGGGCGGCGTTGTCTCGGTGGGGCGGCGTCTCTGGGCCCCACGGGGGGAGAGTCGGCTGCCCGAGGGGCCTCGGGGAGGGGGCGTCGCCTACACGCCCGAGAAGTGGAATTGAGGGGTGCCGGGACCCAGGAAGCGGGGCGCAGGCTGTAGATGGGCGGGGAGGGAGGAGTGGTGGTGTCGGGAATAGTGAAGACTCGGTTACCACAGGGAATGGCGACAGCGGGGGCTCCGGAATCCCTTGAGTTGGCAAATTCGGAGACTCTGGAAGAGGAGGCGGAGGGGACGAGTGCGGAGGTGACCGAGCTTGGGCGCCTAGAGAGGGGCTCGGTGGGGTGGGGCGCCCAGGACCCTCGCGGGGCCAAGGAAGGATGGGGGCTTGGTCACGGGTGAGCACCAATATGGGCGGGGGCGGCGGCCGGCGGGCGCTGGTGGGGTGTCGGGGAGCGAAGGGGACGGGGAAGGAGCGCCCTTGGGCAGCGGTGCCGCCCCGAGGGCTGGCAGTTTCCGGGCTTTGGCACGGAGCCAGAATAACGGGCCTTTGACTCCTCGGGTGCAGGTGAGGGGAGAGGACTTTGGGGACAAGGAGGTTCTTTGTAATCGGGGTTCCCTTGCCCTGCGTCCCGGGTTAAGCACCCGCAACTCTGCTTCATTTTAGTGGATCTGTAGGATTTGATTAAGAATTTTTCTTGGAAATGTTACTTTGTGCAGCAAGATACTGAAGACTTAAAATTTGTAAACCAAACCCTGAGATTTAGGGGTGGGCTGGGAAGGGGGGAACCCACAAGCACGAACTGAAACATTGAAGTTCTTCCTCAGCGGTTCCTTTTTTATTTCAAGTCCAGATGCAATCCTGGTTTCTCTCTCTAAATGTTCTTTCGCTTGCTGTCAAGTGCCGCTACCGTGCTGCGGTCACTTACTCATCTGAGGTTTTCCCAGCAGCACTGAGGGCAGCGCAAGTGCCCACGGGCCCTCCCTCCCAGAAGTGGTGGACATCCCGTGGGAGAAGGGCTGCTGTCCTTTACCCCGGGGCCCTTCCATCACCAGGAAAACGAAATGAGGAGTCCATGGTTGATGCAGGTGTTCCAGTTACTCAAATACTTGAGTAGCCTGATTGTTCTGGCCATTTAATCATCCAAGGGGAAAACCAGATTTTTAAGCATTTATATTTCCTTCTGGAATGCTTGAGATTTGGTTTGGGGCAAATATTTCTGGTCACTGTGGTTTCAGAAATAAATTTTCCCTTAAGAGGTGGTGGAAAATTTTGTCATGGAGGCAGATGTGAGAGGGTGTGTGGAGTCCTCTTGTCTCTTTTTTATTTGCTAGAGCCCAGTTACTCTTCTATATAGCTCCGACTATTAAGTGTTTATATACATCAATTTTAAGTGTTGTAAGTTCAGGTAATACTCTACTGAAGAGAACTAAATGGAAACATACATGCTTTTCATAGGGAAGTAGCTCTATTGCAGTACATTGTAGCATTTCTCAAACTTGGGGGTACATCCAAGTGTTTTTTTGTAAATGTGCCTTATAGAGTGAATTAAAAAATAACTACCCTTGTAATAAGAAAATTAAAGTGTGGCTAGAATGTGTTGAGTTTTGAACTTCAATTAAGGATAGAAATTCTGCTTCTACTTGGAGCTGGTTATTGGCATTACGACAACTAGTAGGGTGACTTTGGCAATATCCTTTGACGAATGAGTGGGGTTTTGTCTGGCTCAGAGCTATGGAGTAGCAACTTTTTGGGGTGTGCAGTAGATGCAAAGATGCAACTTGGGGAAGTGGTGTGGGATTTATGGTAAGAATTGGATCAAGAGCATATTCAATGAATATTTATTGAATGCTTGCCTTCTGTTAATTAGGCAGTGGGAATACAGCAGTTAGGTGGATAATGAGATGATGAGAGGTAAAGGGGACCAGATTAAGTCGGATCTTGGAGGCTATTGTAAAGACCTTGGCACTTGCTTTCTAAGAGAAAAGCAGAGCTCTTGGAGGGTTTTAAACAGAGGACTAACATCTAACTTAAGGTTTTGCAGAATGGTTCTGGCTGCTGTGTGAGTGGACAGTAGGGGGAAGCAGGTAGAACATTAGGTGTTCTAGTAATCAGCTGGGCTGATGGTGACTTGGTCTAGTTAGTAGCAGTGGAGGAGTGACAAGTCTTCATATTCTGCATATATTTTGAAGGTACGAAAGCAGATTGGATATGGGGTGTTAAGAAAATGATGAGTTTATGGTTTTTATTTGAGTAACTAGAAAAATGGAGTTGCTATTAACTGAGAGGGAGACCGTGGATAGAGCCAGTCTTTTTTTTTGCCCCCCTCTTTGGGGTGGGGAGTTAAAAATGGATTTCTTTGAACATTTTATTTTGAAATAATTATAGAGTCAGTGCAGTTGTAAGACATAATACAAAGATCTTGTGTACCCTTCACTCAGTTTCCCCTGATGGTAACATCTTGCAAGACTGTAGTACAGTTTCACAATGTCAGAACACTGACATTGATGCCCGCAAGATGCACGCAGAGCATTTTCATCACGCAGAGCATTTTCATCACTGACAGGTCCTTTCCAGTTGCCCTTTTAAAGCCACCGCCTTCTATTCCTGCCTCTTCTTAGAATCCTGGCAAACAACAGTCTATTCTTTTTATATCTACAATTTTGTTATTTTGAGGATATGATATAAATGGAATCGTATGGTATATAACTTTTTGGGATTGACTTTTTCCCCCTAGCATATTTCTCTGGAGATTCATGTGTCAGTAGTGTGCTCCTTTTTATTGCTGGGTAATATTCTGTGGACTGTGCCTACTATGCTTTGCTTAACCATTCATCCACTGAAGGACATCTGGGTTGTTTCCAGTTTTTGGCTATTATTAAAAAAGCTGTTATAAGCATTCTTGTATAGATTTTTGTGTGACTATACATTTTCATTTTTCTGGGGTAGATGCCCAGAAGTGCAGTTGCTGGGTCATACGGTAGTTGCATATTTTGTTTTTTAAGAAACTGCCAGATTGTTCTCAGGCGTGGCTATCCTGTTAACATTATCGCCAGCAATGAGTGCTCTCATTTCTCTGCACCCCTGCTGACGTATGGTTCCATCGTTTTTTTTTTTCATTTTAACTTCTGATAGGGCAGTGATATTTCATTGTAGTTTTAATTTGCGTTTCTGTAATGGTTAATATCTTTTCATGTGCTTATTTACCACCTGTATATTCTTTGTTGTATTCTCTTCATGTCTTTTCCCCGTAGTCTAATCAGATTGTTTTAATTTTTACTTTTGAAATTTCAGAGTTCTTTATGTATTCTAGGTACAGAGCTCACAAATACTCCTCCCACTTTGTAGTTTATTTTTACATTCTCACAGGAGGGTCTTTCACAGACTAAAAGTTTTTACTTTTGATGAAATCCAGTTTATGAAGTTTTCCTTTTATGCATTGTTTTTGGTGTCAGGTCTAAGAATATGTTTCTAACCTAGATTGTAAAGAATTTTCTTTTATGTATTTTAGTCCAAAAATTTTACCATTTACCATTTTGCATTTAAACATGTGACCCAACTTTAATTTATGATTAAGGTAAGAGACTTAGGTTGAAGTCTGTTTAGCTTGTTAATATGGCAGATTATGTTGATTGATTTTTGAATATTGCAGTAGTCTTGCATTCCTGGAACCCTCACTGTTCATGGACTATTATTATTTTTATTTATTACTGATTTTTATTTGCTAATATTTTGTTAAAGATTTTTGCATCTGTTCATTTTTGTATCCAATTTCTTTTTCTATGTGTCTTTGGTTTTATTATCAGTATAATATTTGCTTCATAAAACAAATATTGAGAAACATTCCCTTCTATTCTTCTGTTCTCTAGAAGATATTGTGTAGAGTTGTTAGTTTTTTAAACATTTGGTAGAATTCACAAGTGAAACCATCTGAGATTGGAGATTTATATATGTATTTATATTCTATATTGTGTAATATTTATTACAATATACATGATACTATATACATGTAATATTATAGACAATATATATTTTAATATATATGTTTTTAGTTTTAAAATTATTTCATTAATAGTTCTTGAACTATTCAGATGTATTTTATATTGGATGGGTTGTGGTAGTTTGTATTTTTTTTTTTTAAAGATTTATTTATTTATACAAGCACTGGGTATAGTCAGAAGCGTGGGAGGGTGAGAGAATTCACCTAGCCAGAGCGGGGAGCAGAGCAGGCAGAAGGACTGAAGTACACTGCTGAGGAGAGCAGCGGGCGGCAGGAGAGGTCTGCGCGCCATGTGGGACCCTCCTCCAGTGGCTGGGGAGCAGCCAGGGATCGAACTGATGCTGCAGAGGCTGCGCGCAGCTTCGCAGCCCAGCGCTCAACCGCTGCGCCACCGGGAAGGCCCGGTAGTTTGTACTTTTAAGATCCTGGTCTATTTAAACTTCCTCTTTTAGTTGACTTTTTATGACACTGCTCTGGTAGAGCTGGGGAGTTGCTGCACGTTACTGCCAGATAGAGGTAGAAGAGTGGGGTCTCCATGTGCTATCTGTTGACACCCCACAGATGGTAGTCTTGGTACTTCTGGGCAGAGCTGGGAGTTCTGGTTCCCCTCATGGCCTGCACTGACACAGTGGTGGGTGACCTTGTTGCTGAGTGATGGCTTAAGTCTTGCCTTTCCACTAGGCCTCCTCTGACGCCATCTCATTGGCAAGAGGCAGGAACACCTTTGTTAACAAGCTCAAGAGGGTGGAAGATGAGCCTCCTCAGTTGGTCTTTGCTGGTGTAGACATGAGAGGAACCAATTTTTCATTGGGATTTGCCTGGATTAGAGCAGTCATTGTCTAAAAGTTTCCTTTCATGCTAGGTTGCCTCTCTCCTGAGCTTTTGGCAGAGAGAACAGGCTTTTTGGGGTACATTTTTTGTCTGTACCCTT